CAAATATGCAAGAAACATGCAAAATGCGAGTGCAAGAGGACCTAGAACCTAAAATGCGATGTATGGGACAAACTAACTTATAATGCAAGATGAATGCATGAAAAACTGCACTAAATGCATGCTAAATACACAGAATATATGCTAATATCAGCCTGACTCACACTGTTTCGGAAATCACTACCCGAAAGGTCACCCATCCTAGTCCTGCTCCAGCTCAAGCACGGTTAACTCTGAAGTTCTCTCAGGCCCACTAATCAAAAAGATAAGTGCACTTTGGTGACATAGGTAGCCAAATTAATCCATTTAAACTTATTCAAATGGGCCGGGCCTTGGTCATTATAATTCTCCCCCATTAAACGGGAATTCGTCCCCGAATTCTGATCCCGACAGTGTGAGCCTTAACCCCCAAACCCCAAGAAAAACTCCTGGAACAGAATCAGTTTGACTTCCCAGGCTCTGATACCACTACAAACGCCACCGATCGCCCCTACCGGCGAGTCACCAATCCCTGCGTCAGGCTTGTGGGCCCCGTCCCTGTTCGACGGCAAGTGCGTTATTTTCCCCGGAGCCCAACCAACTTAGTTACTGACCCTGCAATCACCACATGATCTTTCTCCGTGTTTTGGCCTCACTCACACAGTTTCAGAAATCACTTCCGAAAGTTTACCCATCCTAGTCCTGCTCCAGCTCAAGCACGCTTAACTCTGTAGTTCTCTCAGGCCCACTAACCGAAAATATAAGTGCACTTTGGTGACATAGGTAGCCAAATTAATCTATTTAAACTTATTCAAATGGGCCTGGCCTGGGTCGTTACAGTAAGACCTGCAGAAGGCTCGATCGCAAAACTGATATGTTTTTACAATTGGTGGAACAACGATCTCTTGGTGTTTCCAAAAGCAGATTTTGTTGGCAACTTCTTCAAATTATGCAGAAACTATTGCATTACATGAAGCTTGTAGGAAATGTGTATGGCTCAGATCTATAATCAATCACGTGCAAGAGACAAGCGGAATAGACACAAAGAAAGAGCCCAAAAAGTATTTGAATATAATGATGCATGTGTTGCTCAGCTATATCAAGAGTGATCAAATGAAGCATATTCCTCCAAGAATTTTCTCTTACACAAGATAGTTCGAGACAAATCAAGAAGTGGACATCCAATATATTCGTTCATATGACAATACATCAAATCTTTTTCAAAGGCGCTTCCGACCACAATGTTTAGGAAATATGTTTGTAGCATCTGAATGCGTCATTTACAATATCTATAAAAAAGATAACATCCAACTTTTTTAGTGAGAGATTATGTTACAGTACCTTTTTCCCTAATTATGGTTTTTATCCCATTGAGTTTTTTTTTCCATAATAAAGTTTTTAACGAAATAATATATAATACATTACTAATGATGGATAATCAAGAGAAAAATATTAAATATAAATAATGATTATCTATACTGAATAAAATATGAGGAAATACTCTAAAATGACCCACTATAGGGTTAAATACCAACGCTGCCCTTCTAGCCATTTAGATTTATTTCATTACGTTTTCATAAATTAAAATGGTTATTTACCATTTAACCCTGTCCAGCAGTAGTTCAGCCCTTGCAATGTTGCTGGTGAAAAGCAGATGCTATGCCGACTAACGCAGAGAGAAGAAGTATGACAGATGAGAGGCACACCTAGGTAATTTTAGACGATTTAAAATTACAGATCACTTCTTTTATAAGTGGGGGTTATTGGTTTATGTTAAGAAACAGATTTCGATAATATTTCTTTTATAATTATGGGTTATTGGTTTATGTAAAAAAAAGAACGTGGAGACGTTAGACAGACAAACTGATAGCGAACATAGTTCTAATGTTTTCCCGCTAGTAAAAAGCAGAGATTGCATATACTAACTTCACCATTGGATATTTTATCTTCTAATGATTTGGCCAAGACATCAATCACGCCATGTCGTAGTTTATATGGGGTAAATGCCGCAAAATGTTAGATTGTCATTAGATAAACTCGGTTTGTAGGACAAGACGAGGGCATCCCTTGTTTGAGAATGACAAAAAAACAGCACCATTTTTATGGAACCTGATGTGGATAAACACATAGATGAAGAGACGCGGATATTAGATAGACGTCTCACAGACTGATTGCGAATATATATTCCTCCCGCAGGTGAGAAGCAGAGGCTGCGCAAACTCATTTCACCTTTGAATTCTATTTTATCCTGTGACGATTTCACGAAGACATCAATCCTGACATGCTGTAGTTTCTCTCGGGTAAATATTGCAAAAATATTTTATAGTCAACGGCCATTTCATGCCCAAACTTCAGGCATATTTTCGATTTATACCTGAAGTTTACCTCTCCCAAAAACCATACCCAAACTACTATTTTTTTTTAGATTTCATACATAAATTTTCTGTTTTTGGGAAAATCATACAATTTCCGTGATGTGGCTAATAGTCTGTTAATTGAAGCTTACATAGCTAATGGTCCGTTAACTCTTAAATAACGTGGATTATTATATCAAACGGTTTTCGTTAACATTAAATGCAGTATTAAAAAAATGACGTTTTTTATCCAATTATAAACGAAACAACGTCATTTTGAGTCATCTAAACCTTTAAACAGAACAAATTAGGGAAAAAAAAATTTGACACAAAAATTGTAGGGTTCTTGAATGAATTGTTTGCATCAGCTACCTCATGTGAGCTATTTCTTGAATGAAATGTCTGCATCAGCTACCTTATGTGAACTATTTCTTGAATGAAATGTCTGCATCAGCTACCTCAATTTTGATTGATGTTAATTGATGATCCTCTTCAACTATGAAGGAGTGAGCTAAGACGGGAAAAAATGCCATGGACGTGATGGAGGATTTGGAATTTCGAGAAGCTGTTGAGATGAGAAGAGTGTTGTTTGTGGATCGATTTGTGTAATAAAGAAAAAATGGAAAATGACGTTATTTTCTTTTCAACTTTCAAATCCCTCACATAACTAAACGACATCATATAATATGTGGCATCCATGTCATTTTCACAAGACACCATGCAGGAGGAATATATGTTCACAATCAGCCCACGAGACGCATGTATAACATCTGCATCTCGCCATCTGTATGTTTATCCTGTGTTATACATGCGTCTGCGCAGACTCACTTCACCTATGAATGCTATTTTATCCTGTGTTAATTTGTCCAAGACATCAAACACAACGTGTCGTGGTTTCTCTTGGGTAAATGTCACAAAACTGTTATATAGTAACCAGATAAAGCCGCTTTGTACGACAAGAAAAAGACATCCCATGTTTGAGAATGAAAAAAGACTGTGCCATTTTTATTTTGGAGCCGATGTTGATAAACGCACAGATGACGAGACACAGACGTTAGACAGGCGTCTCGCTAACTAATGGCGAACATATATTTCTCACGCAGGTCAGAAGCAGAGGTTGCGCAAACTCTCTTCACATTTGAGTACTATTTTATCCTGTGACGATTTGGCCAATACATCAAACACGACATGCGGTAGTTTCTCTCGAGTAAATGTTGCAAAAAATAGTCATCTGATGAACTCGGTTTGTAAGACGAGGGCACCAAATGTTTATGAATGCCAAAAGACTGCGCTGCTTTTTTTGGGAGCTGATGTTGATAAATGCACAGATGACGAGACGCATACGTTAGACAGACGTCTCGTAAACTGATGGCGAAATATTTCTCTCGCAGGTGAGAAGCACAGGCTGTGCAGACTCACTTCACCTTTGAAAACTATTGCACCTGTGACAATTTGGCCAAGACATCAAACACGACGTGTCGTAGTTTCGCTCAGGTAAATGTCGCAAAGATGTTATATAGTCCCCAGATAAACTTGGTTTGTAGGAATAGACATGGGCATCCTATGGTTGAGAATGACAAAAGACTGCGCCGTTTTTGGGGAGCTGATGTTGATAAACAAACAGTTGACGAGACGCATACATTAAACAGGCATCTCGCGAACTGATGGCGAATATATATTCCTCCCGCATGTGAGAAGCAGTTTAGCACAGGTAATATTGTATGCTATATATTTGTATAAAAAGATTAATATTTAAATAATATATATTTACACGAAATGTTAGTCTAACAAAAAATGTATACTGATATATCATGTAATTAATCTATTAACATAATTATTTTTTCTAAATTTTGTGAAAAGCTCTATAGTGATGACACATCATCATAATGATACTACTTAAATACTTACAAAACTTAAGTTATTCTCTAAATGCTTCTCAATTAATATATAGAGAATAATATGTGATTCCTCTATTATTGGGATGGTCATTTGCAAATTAGAAGGATCGTGTATCTAATTTTTTTAACCATATATAAAAGTAGAAACACAACCAAACATATGAAAATTTAAAATCTTCTTTCCTGCATAATTTGGAAGATGCCAATAGGTCATCTTTATAATGCTATGCTCAGAAAGAAATATGGAAGTCCAAAAATGAAACAAAATTGTAAAACGCAATCTATTCGCCTATAAAAAAAAAATAAAAAAAAAATTAACAGTGATAAAAGTTTTTATATTCCAGACAAAAAAATAACTGATTTTAAGAACCATTTATGTCAAAATGGAAATGACCAGATCTAAACAAAGATCCGAAGAAGAAACACTCAAAGAAGCAAAATTACCGAAGACTAATATGATTGAGCAAAAACTTGATGAACCCCAATCGTTTATAATTCTCCAATGGTCATTTAGTTTTTGATTTTGATTTTGATTTTTATTTTTTATAAATAACTATTATTTTGTTATTTAGTAAATTTACTGACAATTGTTTACAATTCCTTCCACCATGTCCGGCTTTGGCACGTCTTGGGCCTTTTGTGTATCAAAATCATATAAATTTAGGCCCAAATATAACGACCTCAATATGTCAACTTCGACCGTCTCTGTGAGATTTAAGATCTATACCGGAGAGAAGAGAAGACGAAGAAGAATAAGAAGAGAGGAAGAGAGATGAGGCCGATGCAACTGGATATGTTGGCGGAGATGGATGATGCAGGTTCGTCGATGGCCATGGACGTCGATGACATCGAAGCTATGGAGATTCTCAGCGAAGGAGGACATATCTCTGAGAACAAGCTCGTCGACGCCGATTTCTTCAACAAATTCGAGGATGATTTTGACGACGCTGATATCAACTGATCTCGTTTGGTTTCCCTTCTTTTCCCTTCTCTACGGTTTCAGATTTCTCTACGTTGTTTATCTTGTCAAGGTTTTTATTTTATTTTATCAAATGTATTAGGGATTTTGGAAATCGAAGTTTATAACTACTTAGATTTCTTAGCTCAGCTTTAATTACTTTATGATTTCTTAGTCTTCTGATTCCATGTTTTCTAAGCTTTGATATCGAATTCCTTAGCTCAGCATTAAGTATGAGATTTGTCTGATTGGTTTTTGCTTACTTACTTCTTCAGGGAAAGAGTTTTTGCCTTTGTTTCTTAAATTGGAGATTTTTTTATTTGCATCATAATGCAGCGTGAGACTCAAATTTAAGATGTTCTTGTGTCTTGATTGTATTTATGATGTTGCAAAGCCGTGAAATTTTTGTTTATGGCAATCTAGAAAAAAAAATTCGGCGTATGATGTTATATTCGACATTGTTTGATTGTGATTTTCACATGCCTCACCACTCTCAAACAGGATCAATGGCTGAGATGCCCTCTCGGTTCAAAAATGATTCAATATACTTCCGTTGTTTTTGGATTATTTGATAACATTTATTTTAAATAGAGAAAATGAGTAGATATCGATTCTGCCCTTACAAACTTAATAAAATTACTGATCTAACCAAAAGAAATCTACCAAATCCTAATCTGCCTATATATCACGGATCCTAAGTCGGATCTAACTGTTAAAAACCGCATAAATCACTATTCATCTTTCTAATCGATCAAAAGTAAATTAGGGTAAAAAATTTAAAAGAAAAAAGCGGACGAAACGACGATTGATCCTAGTTCGTCGGGACCACTACGAGTAGTTACTAAGAAAAACTAAGTCAAACTATCTAACTTTTACCACATCAATCGATTTGTAGGCGAATCAGAGAAGGTAAGTGTCGTAATCTTGTCGGTTTTGTGAGATGGATGTCGATATAGATTCTATTGTAACCGATTTGGATTGATCATGTAGGCATATAGCGCGTACAAAGAGGCCGAATTATGGTTTAACTGATGAGGTTCCATCGGAAGTTCGAAGATCTAAGAGAACCTCTCAGGTGGTCTATGAAGACTCGGACCCAGAATCTTCAGAGAACGAAGAAGCAGGAGGCAACGATGGAGGCGACGAAAGCAGCCGAACCGTCACAGACGACGGCGCATCCGATTCTTCAATGGTATGTACCCGAACCATTGTTACTTGGTTTTCGAGTTTGGAAGAATTCGTTGGTTTTGGGTATCGAGTTTGCTTAAAGTACTTTCGTTTTGGGTGATTGATTGTATAGCGAGTCTTTGTTTCTAATTTAGAATTTAGGCTATCAGGTTTTCATTTTCGTTGATTGTTGATTGTTTGTTTTGAATTAGTAATATTCTGAGTTTTTAGTAAAACTGGTAAAACTGGTAAAACTAGGGTCATTTCGTATGTTAAGAATTTCTGGAAAAAAGTAATACTTGGTACAACTATGTTGCAGGGAGCCGAGCCAATGCTTCCGATGGAGATGTACTTCCAGCCAACGGAGTACGTGAAAAAGATCAAGCTGTCTACAAGGTGTTATATCTCAAAAGCAGTGGATTTACTGCTAAGTGGATTAAAGTATCCACTTAGACCAGACGAGAAGAGTTGGTTTGTGGATCACCCCCAATTCAAACATTTCTTCCACATGCACAAGGACTCAAACCACAAGTTAATGGGGATGTGGTTGCTGATTCTTCGAACGGCGGTTACAGAGAGGAAAAAGGAAGCTTGGTTCATTGTGAATGGCGTGCCCATTCGGTATGGTCTACGTGAACACGCCCTCATCTCCGGTTTAAACTGTCGCAGCTATCCTCCTAACTATTCGGAAATGGGCAGTATGGAGTTCGTGGAGAAGCACTTTGGGGCGGGGAAAAAAGTAAGATACTCAGATGTGAAAGAAAAGCTGGAGAATATGAAATATTCTCCAGATCGGTTAAGGATGGCTATCCTTTTCTTTCTATCAAGCGTCACTATTGGGCAGTCTAAGACAGGAGGTGATGCTACTTGTGTGGAGCGGTTCTTTCAACGAGAAGTCAGTGATCTGCATTTGTGTAGGACATTTCCCTGGGGGAGATTGTCTTTTGATAACAATATGGAAGAGATCCAGCATACTGTGGATCATTTTAAAGGGGTTGTTAGCGGATCAAATTGGACTTATCCAAGCTTCTGCATTACTTTGGAGGTAAATATGAATATATGTAGTACTTGTATTTCCATAGATTTGAAGCTAACTCGAAATATATGTGGCATATGTAGCTTCTAGCGTTTGAAGCAATTCCATCACTGAAGAAGAAATTCCGAGAAGTTGTTCCATCTGCGAGGAAAACTTGTCCGAGGATGTGCAAGAGCAAGTTCAAAAAAAGCGCCATGAAAGGATTTTCTCTCGAGGAAGTAAATGAAGCACTTGATACAATTATGGTCAGTAATACTTTTAAATTCAAACATTTTAAATTTGCACACTTTTAATTTATTTATGATTGGAATTGCACTCTTTGTTTATATCCACATGAGATTGATAGCATCTTGGTCCCTTACAATGAGAAGAAGCTTTTGTGGCTCGAGTGACTGAAGAAGATGACGATGATGTTGTTGTTCATAGTTGGTTGAAGTGTATTAATGATGAAGACGAGCCGGTCTGTTTTGAACAGATGTACGAAGAAGACGTGGCCGCCCGACTAGAAGAGCAGCCCGCGAACGCCGTCAATGCCGCGAACGCCGCGAATGCCACCAATGCCTCCACTGGTTCCGTCTCTGACTTGGTTGAGGTCGTACAGAGGCTGAAGATGGAAATGGAGAGTGGGTTCAAGAAGATGAATGACAAGTTTGCTGGGTTCGATACAAGACTTGCAGCAGTGGAAGGCTATGTGAAAGAGCAATTAGATGCTTGAAGCATGTATGAGGACGTCAATTATGATGATTACATTCCTCGTTCTAATGTGATAACAATGATGGAGCGGAAGGAGCAGAGGTAAGATTTGGTTGACTTAGACCTCTAAACGGAAAAATAATACTATGTAATACTAAGTACAATTTTGTGTTTTGCAGGGAGAAGAGCAAGAGCAAGAAGCAGAGGTGGCGGAAGCAGATGAGGGAGCAGAGAAGGAGGCAGAGACAGGCGTTGAGGAACAAGAGAAGGAGGCAGAGAAGGAGGCGGAGAAGGAGACAAGCGTTGAGGAACCAGAGAAGGAACAAGAGAAGGAACCGGAGGTAATTTGTCTTTTGTAGGGAGTTTAACTGTTTGTGTTTTGCAGGGAGTTTAACTGTATGTGTTTTGCAGGGAGAAAAGAATGAAGCGGCTAAGGAGGCAGAGGAGGAAGAGGCAGAAGAGGCAGAGGAGGAAGAGGCAGAAGAGGCAGAGGAGGCAGAAGAGCGAATCGGTAATTCTCCTTCAATAATGCGATGGAGCAGTCTTATAAGAGTAGGAGGCAGATTGCTGAAGGTCCCTAACAAGTCTGTGGCTGCTGTTTTATCTAAAGCTAAGGAGATAGAGGAAGCTAAGGAGGCAGAGGGAGCGAAGGAGGCAGAGGGAGCGAAGGAGGCAGAGGTAAATTTTGTAATTCTTATACCCTAAAACAGAAATGTCACACTATGTAACACTAAGTAAAACTATTTGTGTTTGCAGACAGAAGGGACATCTTCCTCTGTGGTGGGTAAGCAGGTGTATCGAAGGAAAAAAAAAGGGTTCACAGTCCCAAGTGGAGAAAGAGGCAGCCGACGAACCCCAGAAGAGGAAGATAAAACGTTTCCAGCATGTGCGACCTCCTTACACAGAGGAAAAGGCCAAGAGGGGCAGGAAAAAATAGTCTAGTTGGACTTAAAACATTTTCTATTTTGGTTTTCAGTTGGACTAAAACTCGAATGCTGATATGTTGTTATGTCGTTAGGATTTAAAGTTTGGATTTAATGTTTGGATTTAAACGTATTTCATTTGGTATGGTGTTCTAATTTGTTTGATTTGGATTTCGAATGTTTGATTTGATTTGATATAAACACTAAAAATAGTTATAAAACATTGAAGTGCAAGGAAACGTTAGTCTTGAACAACAATTAAAACAACAATTAAAGAAAATTACAGATTCGTTAAGTCTTGAGCTTCGCTATCTCTTCGGCTTGGATCTGAATCTGTTTTCGCATTTCTTCAATCGTCTTGCTCTGCTCTTCAACTTTCATAACTAGCTTCTCAATCTCTTGTTCGACTCCGAAAACCCATGGCTGACGAAAGTGGAGTCCATCATCCTAGCAAAAAAACAAAAAAACGAGCAACATCCATTATAGTTATACCTAGTATTCCAAGTTTTATACCCGAAGAACATCTAAATAGTTTAACCTAGTTTTACTAGTTTTACCCAGAAAAAAACCCAGATCTGAAATTAAAGAGATTATACCTTAAATTTGGTGCAGGTGAAGTACCCACTGCCTGGTTGAGTATCGAAATCGTGTTTAAATTTGGAGAAGGAGATACATCGTGCTTGATAGATCCACCACATGGGCATCTTCTCGGAATCCCATATTGGCCGTCGGCGACGAATCCAACCATGTCCGAATGCTGCTTCATCTTCTCCATTTCCTTGCGGAGCCTCTTCTCTTCCTTCAACCCTTCCTCGTATGGGTCGATGAGGAAATTGTCCGTGTAGTGATAGCTACAATCCGAATCCATTTTAAGAGAGAGAGAGAGATCGACTAACCTAAAGAGATAAGAAAGAACGAACCCTAGAACCCTAAGAGAGAGAGAAGGGAGGAGGAAACTCGAATCTGAGAAGTGAAAGAAATCCCTAGGACCCCGATTTCTACAGTTTACCCTAAACCGGGAAAAACCGTCCTGAATTTCCAAAAATTTCCCGCTCCCCACCAAAATAACACGTGCGCCGTTTTTTGCTTACGTAGACGCCGCCAAAATTACACTTAGTAATCCGTAGTTTTTTAGTTATACTATTTTCAAATAGTTGTACTTTTGGGTGTTTTTAATTTTATTTAGTTATACTCCGCAATAAATTTCCTGTTTGTAGTTTTACAGATGATTTAGTCTTTCTGTTGTTAAGCCTAAGGGTTTTATGCATTAAAAATGTTTTAAAACTCATTGTATCTGTCTATGGATTCATATGGTGGTTAGTATTTAGAAAGTGTTCATAGAAGTGTATGGTGTTTGTTGTGTAAATGTTTTTTATTTGATTGTTTCATATTGAATGTAGATTTTTCTAATAATTTTAAAAATAAAATATAACTCTAAATAAACTAATACAAGATTTTTTCATATCGAATGTTCGAAATTCAATTAAAAACAAACATACTCTTGAATACATTAAAAAAAACTGTCTTAAATACTATCAGTTGCACCAGTTGTTCCAAGTGTTCCGAATACACAAAAAAAACACAAACGAGCTACACAGCATCACCAGCCTCACCAGCCTCACTATTACCACTAAATAAATATGACCACATCCCTCCTCTTCCTCTTCCCCTTCCTCTTCCTCTCCCTCTCCCTCTTCCTCGGTGTTCTCCAGCTGATGGGAACCGGTTTTCTTGAGGTCTTCCTTCCTTTGCGACATAATCTGGTGGTATGACAACCAGGTTTTGTATATGATCAGGAATAATCCAATCAGACCTGTGTGGTACTGGATAAATCGTCCTGCAGTACGCTAATGTCCATAGCTCCATCCAATAATATTTCGAGCAAAACTCTTGTAGATGAAGTTCCCGGCCTCCGCTCATAAAGATGACAGCAGCTATTACATGCACACAAGGGTATCTGTCTATATCAAAACACTTGCAACTACAGCTTTTCCTTTTCATATCAACCAAATAGCACTTGCCGTCTTTTCTAATGACACTGAATTCAAGAAAGAAGGCGTTCAACTCATGCACCGTTCTTTCTCCACATAAGGAACAAGCTTCTGGGTGCTTGATACTTCAGAAGAACTGTTCCTATGCTTGTTGAATCATTCTGCCAGCTTATCAACAATCACATCAATCATTGGTAATAGAGCGTACTTCCTTGCTTTCCTAAGAACACCATTAATAGATTCTACAATATTGGAGGTGTCTATGTTGTACCTTTCTCCTGGAAAATAGCATCTTGCCCATTTGTCCACAGGAACACTACCATCGAGATACTGGGCTGTGGAAGGATACTTGGTTCTAAAAGCATCAAAAAGTGTCAGGAACTCACTCTCTGTATACGCATGAGCGCATTCTTTGAACTTCAGAACGCATATATCTTTGTTGACGTAGTAGACATTCGCTTTTACATTCTGAGACTAATGTTGAATACAATACCCATGTTGAGACAACGGAAACACCGCCTGCACGGACTTGATGAGGCTTGAGTTTCTATCAGAAAGAAACACCAATTCAGGATCATCCGGTATCACTGATTTCAACCTGTTCATAAACCACATCCAACTAGCATCTTTCTCACCATCAACTACACCAAAGGCAATTGGATAATGGTGATGATTAGGATCTTGAGCTGTAGCAACTAACAAAACACCACCATATCCAGTCTTAAGGTGGGTTCCATCCACAATAATGACTTTTTTCATGGCTTAGAATCCCTCAATGCTAGCTCCTAACGCAAAGAATAGGTACTTGAACTTTTTATTTTCGTCCAATTAAACATAAGTCCGTGTACCAGGATTCATCGACTCCAGCATGTACATATAGGAATACACCAACTGGTAACTCTCGGCTGGACTTCCCCGCACATCATTTGCAGCTTGTTTTTCCCCCTCAAAGGAGTAGAGTATGATACTTTTACCCCAAGTCGTCCTTGAACCATATTGATCAGATATTTTGGAGTTGGAGTGTCAAATTTACCCGGATAATCTTCATGCACAACAGATGCAACCAAAACCGGTGTCCCTTTCCTATTATTCCTGACTGTAACTGCAGAAGCTCGAGAGCATGTATGCATCTTGTTGTAAGTTCTTACCGAGAAACAATCTGATTCCATCAACTTTGCAGCTCGTAAAGACCACTTGCAACCATTTTTTGCTTCGCGACATTTCACCACGTATCGCTTTTTGTCAGACTTGATTGTATCAACCTCAAAACAATTCTGATGTGAGCCTACATGAACTAAATCTTGCACTGTCTTCTTACTTCTAAATTCTTGACCTACAATCATTTTAATACCATCTTCCCAGCCATTATTTACCACTACTTCTTCTATAGCAGGTCCATACTCAATATCATCAACCTCTTCCCTGGACACATTTCTTTGTTCTGCTTGATGGCCTTCTGATGGTTCACCACCATGAAGAGTAATTATACCAGCATTAACATCCATACCACTTGAAAACACCTGCTCATTACCTGGACCATTTACACTTTCGCGATCCTCTCTTGAAGGCCGCACAACACCCTGATCGACATCTTCCACGATCTTCACGTGCAAAGCACTTCTACATGTATCGTTATTCACTTGCATCAGGTAGCCAAAAACATTTTCATCATTCCAGATATATGATGGCTTAGGATCCACTACCAATGGAAAGTAACTGACTTTCAGCTGCGTATTAGCTTCATCTATCTTCATCTTCCTTCATATTCCACTGATCAACCCAGCATAAGTTACCTCCTCAACAGACGTCTTCATCACTAAGGTGTGAATTTCATCTTCTCTTGATACCCATCTTATGACATCACCTTCCTTTGAATAAGATCCCCCATAATCGAAGCATATAATAGTGAAACGACTTATATTCATTGTCCCCTGAACAAAAATAACAAATATCATTAGTATATGTCTCAATCATATCATTTCTCTCACTAATACAAGCAGTAATACTAGTCCAGTTGTACCCAGTTGTTCCCATTTCTAAGCAATGCTCTGTAATACCAGTTGCTCTCAGTAATACCTGATGTCTTAGTAATACCAGTTGGTCCAGTAGTACTCTGTTCGTGTACCCAGAAAACTTCTATTTATCTACGAATCTCCAACGGTTTACTACGAATCGGGATAATTTGATGTTCATTTAACGATTATAACTGCTCCTATTTACCGACCTACAACTCTTAGCAAAGAATTTCAATTATTCATTCATCCACAAAAAAATCAGAACAATGGCGCCATTGGAAGACCAAGAGCAACAATGTGTAGCACTCCCTATTATTCTAAGATTTATAGCGTATGTAAAGGAGATAATGTGGCAAAAGACTCACCTTATAAACTTTCCATATAGCTTCAAGATGGAGAATGTTGGGTTTTGGGAGACAGGAGGAATGAAGAATCCGCCAACCAGTGAAAGGGACCATGAAGAAGATAAAGATGTGGAGCCCGTAGGTAGTTGAGATTTAGTTGAGAATTAAATTAAAATATTATGGATTTATTTTTCTTTTTATTTATTTCATTAATTTCGGATATTGTTATTTTATTGAAGAAGGGTGAGGGCAAAATAGAGAAAAAAATGAGGGGAGGGCATTGAGATTAAGAGAAGGATAGTCAGATTATTTTCAAACACTTAAGAGCATATTGGATCTTTGTCCTCTCAAACATGTGTTGATCATAATAAACTCATAATGTATGCAAAATGGATTATATTCTTTCTTTGGCATAGCCAATTAGCCATAGATTTCTGATAAAGGTTTTAAACTAGAAGAATGACATGAACATAAGGAACAGTCAATGTGTCTACCCAAAATATAAACTAGAGAGAATTAGACAATGAAAAACTTAAACTATGTTTATACCAATTTTTAAATTATGACAGAAATTACTGAGAAAACTTAGAAAACACAAAGACCAAAATTTACAAAGACAGTTATAAACAGAAAACAGAGTTCAACAAGCTAGATACACACCACAACATACCGAGAAATCTTCCAAGGGAAATACTGATAGGTTTTTAAATTATTATCCGAAGTTGGAATGTTTTTTATGGATTTTTTGAGTATTAAATTTTTAAAAACCTTAAACTGTAAGTGTACAACATACAATGTAGTATTTAGAGTCAAATTACGAAGATGTATACTTTAGCACACGTAAAACAGAGCAACCAAA